TGCAAAAGATGACTCTTGTAAAAAGATCCATTTCTACAGTACTCTATTAGTATGAAAGTGCCAAAATCTGTTTAGAAACATCCAGATGATTGTGTCAGATTTGCTGAAAACGTTAGACACACAAGATGGAGAAAGATTGTCAAATCTATGTTATATGAAAATATAGAACAATGTGCGTTCATAAATTAATAGATGGTGTGATTTCCGATAACATGCCATTCTCCTAAACCTTACTTAAAATATTATTCAATTTATGATCGCAATCTAGGGGTTGCAAGAGGTTTTAATCGGATAGAATGAAATTATTGGGTTTGAAATAAAAATCAACTTAAACTTGACGAGCACGTAAAATAACATGGCAAATTTAATACATCAGGCTCAACGACATTATTTTAGTTTTGTCTAGTTATTGAAACAGATTCGTCCATAACAATGCAACTTTTTGGTCTCGGTCCATTGGTGGCTGGTGCGGTAGCGCTCTGGGACGCCGCTGCCCTTGTAAATTTTTGTAGTAAAAAGAGTTAATTTAAAAGGTAGTTTACAATGTCATTTAGATAATTAAAAAGGAAATGTTAAATTTGTAATGTGCAGTCAATTTAACTCGACTTGCAAAATTCATTAAAAAAACACTGAATACGTGAGCTCTCCTCTAAATCAGTAAAGTGTTTACAGCGGTGGTCATGGTTACCGTAGCGCTGTAGTTGGAGTAGCGCATATTTAATTTGCAGTTTGGGATCTTCAATACCATCTATTGAAAAGTCAATGGTGCGAGAAATACCAAACTTCAATGAAAAAGTAATTCACAAGTTTATTTCGGACAAAAGCAGAATAATGCACTCTCACTGTAAAAAATAATGTTGACCACATTTTCCCTATATTTCAATAGTTCTTAAAATAAAAGAGCCCAATTATATTTGATTTTTTTCAATACTTTATACCTAAATAGGTATTTCCGCCCTTTCTGGTATGAAAGTCAAGAGCCGCTACTCTCGGTACATAATAATGTATTGCTCGCTAGTATCAACTCAATTGCCTTTTCGAATACTGGGATGAAACTTTGCATAGTTGGTGCTTGCTCCTTATAGTTTTAATAAAAACAAACATATGCAAGCCTAGATGGAGGAAAGAGGAGTTTTGGAAGATATGTTGTTTTTGTGCACGTCTATGTTCAAAATGTATTGTTCTTTAGATGAAATGTTGGTTCCTATATTTTTTTCAACTCAAAAGTTTTCTTTCATTGGTGATGAATTTTCTAATTTCTCTATTAAGAAATGAACTAAGTTTTTCAAAAATATTCCTGGATAAGGTTGATACCGATTCGGATGCATTTCTACATATTGTCTAACAGCAACATTTGAGTTGAAAAAAACGTTTATTTATTCAGCCTTAACACAAAATATGTAGTTTGTTTAACAAAGGTGCCAATCCCTTTCTTATTAAAATAGCAAAATGGGTATGAGCAGATGCATGTATTCAACATTTAATCGTAGCATAACATTTCGACATTAACATGCGGATAGCCAGTCTGTCACTACAGAACAACAAAGACAGGTCAAAGATTCCTAGACAAGGAGCATTGTAAGTCTGTAACTATCGGTGACCAGGGCATAATAACATGATAAATCATGGAAATAAGTTAAATCATTCTGTAGTATACTACAAGGTCTCATTAAGTAATTTTTGGGATGTTTCTCTACTTAAGTTGAACAAATTACTATGGTTAATGAGCATATTACCTTGGTAATTGTAGTACAGTACCATTTCTACATACATATATGTATTTATAGGTTTCCAATTTAAGGGTACCTACAAACGGCGTTCGGTTATAAACTCAAGTTAGTTAAACAGTAGTAACATTTATAATCAATACACTCATATTTGTATGGCGCTCCATCATGTTTCTCCCTTAGTTTGCTGAAGTGTGTCGTGCTTACCAACTGTCCCCAATCGACGGAAATTAAAATTTAATTAATAAACTCTTGTTAATTTTCTTTACTTGTGGGTAGGTACTATTGTGTGTGTGAGATATTTATTTATTATCCCTTTTATTTTGTATATTACAGAATTACCAGTTAAAATATATAATCTATAAGTTTTGCTGAACGAAAAACAAAGGGAAACATACTATAAAAATTAAAAAAAAACAAAATTAACTTTATATGTTTATCTTCATTTCTATTTTATCAAACTGTGGGTTTACTTTTATAAGTCATGTGTGACCATTGATCAGTTGTGGAGTTTGATGATGATGGTGATACCAAGCACAACAATTTGAACAAGAATGAGTATTGTGGTGTTGGGTAAGTAGCAGTAAGTGCAGTCGGAATAGCAGTTCTAGCCCAACGGAGTGGGATGCAGGACGTTGAAGAGGGTGGAAACGTGACACATATGCTGTTTAAACGATAGCTTGGACGAGAACCAAGAGGAAGTTCGCCAGCCATATGACGTCGGGTACCAAGCTGTCCAGAATGGAACACTAAAAAAATAACGGTGGACTATACCTTACACTTGAAAAGTCTAGACATAACATTTAAAATAGTAATATTGTTTAATTTAAAACAAAACTTACTTTTGAATGAATTTTGACAAATTTTAAATAACTTATTTACTAATATTCATAATACGCTGTAATATATATTGCGGGTTCAGACTACCTATCTAAAAAATTAATTGGGTCTTCATATTCATTCAGAATTAATAATATAAATAGTTACTTACATATTCTTTTTCGAATATCTAAGACACTACATATAAGACATGGTGTCATTAAAGCCTGCCTGTCGAAGTAGGTCAAGATTGATGGATATTGGATCGGAAAGTTGAGCTTCTGTTAGTTCGACACCTCACTGCCCAAAACTGAGGCTACCCCGACAGCGGCAAGGCAAGCGAGAAATAGAGACTTTGATGAAACCATTTTTCCAGTTATTATGATAGATATCTTTTCTTTAATAGATTTTAACTAAATTAATTGGATTGATCTTATTTTAATGCCGAGTTACTGGTTATCAAATACCCAGACAGACCTATCTGACCAACGTTCTACGATGTATCATCGATGTGATGCCTTGGCGATATATCCTAATAGCCTGAAATAGTTCTGTCCAAAATTTGCTCTACTCTACTTCGACATATACATTTGCCAAACAATAGAATCTGGAGCGTGTGTGCTGGTTGTACTTACTGTCACATCATATTAGAGAAGGTGGATAAGGATTGCAAAAAAGATAATCTTTTGAAAATTGCCACATTTTTGTAATCACCAGTGTTTGCTGTTATCGGTGAACCTATTCTTTTATAAAAACCGAATAGAACTCAAAAGGAAACAAAATTAAATAACAAACACTGGTTTAATAATTTATTAATAAGAATCATAAAAACCAGTATACACAAAATAAACAACAATTACTCTAATATAAACAATAATTGATTAAAAAAGTAATGATTAAAAAATTACATTTTTAAAAATGAAAAAGGAGTCTGTCAAGTTGATTTATACTAATCACGTCATTAATTTAAAATTTTGTAGCTTCCACTAATCATCCTGTCTTATAAACTTTGGACTTAATAATGCCCCACAGAAAAAAATCAAGTGGGGTAAGGTCCGGAGATCGGGGCGGCCAAAAAAATCGTTCTGAAGGAAATGTAGAAATTATTTGCCATTAATATTCCCTTCAAAGAGAACGGACCAATGACTCTCTCGTTAAGTATCCCACACCAAACGTTAACTTTCTGACTATATTGTCTTCGGCAATTAATTATCCACTCTGGATTTTCTGAAAACCAACACCGTGAGTTCTGTGATGATACAATTCCATTCGTCGTGAATCGCTGAATAAGATATTTTATAATATGATAAAGAAAGAAATTATATAATTTTTCTAGTTTCGATTTAAGTATTTTAAAAATAATATGTATAGGCCTAGTAAATAGGTGTCACTTAATAAACATAATAAATCAACTAAATAATAAACCGTTGAATCGAATTTTATCTTATCATCCTCAAAATAATTATTCCACAAACCAGACTGTCTAAATTCTAGATTAAATTATTGTGTCTTTTTAATTGATTCAGTAAACAATTTTATCTTGCGGACCACAAGCAAACAATATTGATAAAAACCGTTGAACTTATAATTAGCTGTATATAGGCATATAAATTAAAGCAATCATTATTTTTTAAATAAAAATAAACACACAAGGCATAATTAAGATTACATTTCGTTTTGTTAAAAATAAACAAATAAATTAATTAATCACAAGCAATTGACACAGATAACTGATTTTTATGATTAACAGAAATATTAATTTTCATATGTTTAAGTGCAAATATTCATAAACATGTTTGAGATATTGAAATTTTAGTAATAAGTTATAACAAATAATAAATATACCTACTTATACCTACTTATATAGTACCTAATACAGGTTTTGTATTTTTACCTGAATACCTATATTTTTTATTGCATAAAATATATGTAAATTTGTTTATCCTTCTCTATCGCATGGATTTCTATGGCTTACTTTATCGCTCTCACGTAACTTCAGATAGACCATCGGTACTTTCCTAACCTGTATTTATTTACTTGGGGTATTATAAAAGTAAAATATAAGAATAATATCACGAGTTTTTTTACTTCATTATTTCTTATGAGATACGGAAAAGGCTTGATGCAAAAACACAACTGTATAAAACAAAATTTCATCATCATCTTTATTTTAAATTGGTTAAGTAAGTATATGTTTCTGATTTGATAAAACTTTTTTTGTACGAACATCTAGTTTATGTCTTGAAATATGTTATTAATAAATATGTAATTTGCTGTTTTCCCATATCATATTAATTTTATTGGAAATTGTGACAAATTATTTTAAAATGGAACATACCCGTGCACTAAGTTTTTTGAAGCGGAAGAAGATGAAAATGACGACGAGTAGAAACACAAACCGTGGGATGGCGCTTAAATCGTTTCATGCATATTTCATGATTTTCATGTAAGCGTCCTTGTTCGTCGACAGAATTTTTTTTGAGGTTGTGTTTTAAGAAATAACCTAACAAGTGTATGAAATTTAAAAATTTGTATAAACGTATGCTTCTTGAATCAGTATTAAAATTTTTTACGTTATTTAATACAACATGGCAAACGGTCCGATAGCAGAAAGAAATCGAGGTAAATATAACGTTTACACTTAACCTACAAACCGGTTAATATTTAACTTTTCTAGATGCTACAATATATGTAGGAGGATTAGATGACAAAGTGTCGGAGTCTTTACTGTGGGAACTATTTGTACAAGCTGGACCACTTGGTAAGTGCCTTATCACTATGATATTTTTATCTTACAGACTTCTTTTCAGTAAATGTTCATATGCCCAAAGATCGAGTTACGATGATGCACCAAGGTTATGGCTTTGTAGAATTCATGGGAGAGGAAGATGCTGATTATGCCATAAAAATAATGAATATGATAAAGCTGTATGGAAAGCCCATTAGAGTAAATAAAGCTTCAGCACATCAAAAGAACCTGGATGTTGGAGCTAATATATTTATAGGAAATTTGGACCCTGAGGTCGATGAAAAATTATTGTATGATACATTCTCTGCTTTTGGAGTAATACTGCAAACACCTAAGGTAGGCTTCGTGAGTAATTGTAGTTACCGTAGATAGGGTCACTGCGATGGTTATTTGATATCAATACTAGTTCCCGACTAGTTTTGTAATACTAGGTCAAAAATTACTTCCTTTTCGGTTTCCTTGTTAGCGACCATTATTTCCCACGCGGTTGTAATCATTTTGTTCAAGTCATAGTCATCCAGTTGTGCAAACATTTGTGATGGCAGTCAAGTCGTCTATTGACATGCTGAATTCCGTTACAATTTTGAAGCAAACTTTGATCAAAAATATAGTAACTATTGCACTAATCTTGAACAGGTTTGATTTTTATTGTTAATTTCCAATATTATCAGTAAGTATTGCATTTGTGTGCAACTGTGCTTGATTAAAATTGTCCAATATTATAAGGAGTTGTAAATTGAAAATATTAATGGTCGACGCCAAGCTGCAGTAAGTCGAAAAACAGGAAGAATAAATGAGTTTTCAATTATTTGTTCATTAAAAAATCTCTGATCTTAAAAACAAAATAATTTTTATATTTAGTAAATGTAAAACAACTGTTTATCATATTCCTAACAAGTTTACCTCAAAGTAAATGACTTTTGATTTAGGCTTGAATTTAAAAAATCTACAAACTGGTTGAAAACCGATTAGTGACCTTATGTAAGATGGCAATAGATATTTAAAAAATGAAATTGATATTTAAATTGTTACATAATGGGACTATTATCTATAAACTCAAATGTTAAAAAAATTACAAAATAAGAAAATTAATATATATTTTATTAAATCAGTTACAAATGCATCTACATCCTAATTTCAAAAAGCTATTTATATTTCACTGATATCATTTGCATATTCTTATAATTTTCTAGATAATGAGAGATCCTGAGACTGGAAATTCCAAAGGCTTTGCATTTATAAACTTCGCCAGCTTCGAGGCGTCAGATGCATCTATAGAAGCCATGAATGGACAGTACCTCTGTAACCGACCCATATCAGTTTCGTATGCTTTTAAGAAAGACTCTAAAGGTGAACGTCACGGTTCAGCAGCCGAACGTCTTCTTGCTGCTCAAAATCCCCTGTCGCAGGCCGACAGACCTCATCAGTTATTCGCAGATGCTCCTCCAATGGGAATGATGCCTATGTCAATAGCGCCTCCCCCACCTCCTGTTATGATTACCGGCATGATGCCACCTCCTCCTCCCACACCTGCAAGCATGCATCCTCCACCTCCACCACCAGTACCTCCCCCAAGTTCTTTCCCTGCCGGTATTCCACCACCGCCTCTACCACCTACTCAACCTCCCCTTCCCCCGGGAGCCCCACCACCCCCACCGATTTCCGCAACTTCTGGTCCTCCTCAAAGACCGCCTTTACCTCCAATGCCGCCCACTTCTGGCGGTCCAGGAGGCCCTCCTCCTCCTCCACGCATGATGCCCCCACCGCCACCATGGTCCAGTTCTGGAGGTATGCCACCTCCACCACCAGGTCCTCCAGGGTCTGGGCCGCCAACTAGTGGTGCACCTCCCTTCCCTGGAATGTTTCCACCACCCCCTCCACCTGGTGGTAGGCCGCCACCTCCTAATTGGAGGCCACCCCCTCCTAATTTTGTGGGAGGGAGGCATCCGTTCCCACCTAGGGGTCCCCCACCACCGCCCCCTAGTTTCGATAGTTGATTAACTATTTGTATATTTTATAAAGTCACTACTTTAATTTTTGTATGTCACAAATAATAAATAATGTAAGATGTACATTTTATTTCAATTTTAAATAAATTCTTTTTTAACTGGCTTGCAAAGTATTGTTCATGAAGTAATACAATGGTGTATACAATCATGTGTATATATTCGTCATATTCATTGGGCATATTAATCTGCACATACAGGGTGTTTGGTAAGTCGATGCATTCCTTGCAGGAGGTTGTAGTGCAAGTGATTTGTGATATATTTCCTTAATATACCATATTCCGAAAACGCTTAGTTTCTGATCTACAGGGTGATAAAGTGTTAATAAGAAAATGCGAATTTATAAATATTGCGGAAACCGCTCAGAATATTTTAATGAAATTTTACAAGCTTTGACAATTAACAACAATACATGTTTTACGATAAAAATATTGTTTTTAGTTTCACCAGTGGCGTACACACAGGCACGTCTTTGGATATTTTTAAAGAAAAAAATGAAAAGCCACTGATTTTTCTTAAAATAAAAATTATTTTTGAATTCCTTGTTCAATTTGGAAGAGAAAAGGTATTTCTACTGTTTTTCTTATGGTGCACCGTTTTCGAGTATAAAAATTAAAATCGATTTATTGCATGGCGTAATTTGGTTTCAATAATTTGAAAAATAGCAGAAATTATGCACTCAGCTTTTTTTTGTACCAATTTTATTACAAAAAATTATTATTCCTCGCAGTTAACATCAGTCTAAAAAATTTGTATCAGTTTTTAGATTCACTATTTTCTATCTAAACAGAAATTAGCAAGTTGGCTATATTTCATTTAAAAATAGTAACCTTTTTGCCGTAAAATAAACTGCAATGTAAAAAAAAATATATTCATTTTAAAAATATCCAGTGGCGTAAAAATTATATTAAAAATAGGGGTTTCAGAGCTCCTTACGGACACCTATGATTGATCTATTTTCATAGTAATTTGTAAAATCGATAGAGCTCTTCATTCGTACACTTCATACTAAATATACATCAAATGGCTTTATAGTTTAAGAAAAAATAAATAAAAGCCAAAAAAAAATTTTTTTTCAAGAGCTTATAGATATCTCTAAAAGGAAGCCTCTAGAACAGGGGTCGGCAAGTAATTTTAGGTGGGGTCCGGATACTTTTGAAAATTTTTAACAAGGGCCAGAAAAAAAATTCATTTACAAATTTTTTATTTTAATTTGGACTCAAATTTAATCTGCTTACCATTAAGAACTCAAATTAGTCACACAATTGTTAAGTATTAGAAAAAATGATAAAGGCGGCACTCAAACGTAAAAAAATATTTTTTAAGTTTATACTTTAAAAAAATTTTTGGCAGTCCAGTATTTTACCTTCCGCGGTCCGGACCTGGACCGCGGTCTGCCAGTTGCCGACTGCTACTCTAGAAGAAAAATGTATACTTCAAAATGACATTATTTTGATGAGATCTATCGATGGTTAACGTCCTAATCATAAAAAGTGAATCACCCTGTATAGAGCAGTAACTGGATTAGTATACAATATAGAAATTGTGTGTTAATAACTTATAGCCTGCACATTTATTTTATTGACAATGTTAATTTAACATAATCAGCATAATAAAAATGAAAAAACCTAAATATGAAGAGCTCAACGCTTAATAAAAAAAAAAAAATTGTTTCTATTCCACCCATGGGGAACTACTAAGTACTAGAGACTATGCTCTATATAGAGCTATGCTTTGTGGTGATAATCATTAAGAATTATTTAAATTTATTCATCATAACCGGTTAAGAAATTAAAGAGTAATATTTAAAAGGCCATGAAATACATATAATGTGAATTTTTATGAATTTGTTTTTACAACGCATGAACATGAAATTAAACAAAATTAATAGTGTGAACCATTTTATTTACTACCTGTTACTTTTAACGTTTGTATTACTAGAACTACTTGCAGGATCATCTTTGCCAGATGTATTTCTCTTCTTTTTTGAGTCCATATATCGCCTTGTATTTGTATTTTTTTTATTCTGATTCTGTCTTCTATTTAAAGAACCATTTTCATTTGGATTATATGGAATAAAAACACCAGGCGCTTGATAACTAAAAAATAAACAAGTCGTTTTAAATTTAGACAGAAATATTTTATTACTAACCCAAGTTCCTCTGTATTTAAAGGATCTTTCGATAAATAAATGTGTATCATTGGTAATTTTCGTTTTACAACTATTTGATCTAGCTCTGGATTTAAAGGGTCCCAGAATTCCTCCACACTGAAATTGCACATTTAATGACTGAACTGAAATAGCAATTGTTTAACTTACAGCCTATAACACAACTTGGTAATCTGATGTAACGAATTATTACATTCGCGTTTCATGATTTCTGCACAAGTGATAGCTTTTCCGACTGATGTACCTGAGCCAGTCCATACCAGTGAGTTAACAGTCGTAAATTCCTTCAAAGCGTATGATAGAAGGTTCCTAATTTTGCTACCACCTTTCACCTAAAAATATCGATTATGAATAGACGAATGATTAATTTGAGAAAATATAGCACACCTACTTGCATCCAAAGAAAATTATCGGGGAGGTTCGGTATAGCTATTTTATTCCGTTCTAAAGGTTCTTCTATATTTTTACCTTTACGATAGTTTTCCATTGCTACAAATAAAAATTCTTTAGTGATTCTTCCAAAAATAATTTTTATATTGCTAACATCTTGGACGGTGGTACTAATTATCATAAAATTCACTTGGCTGGGAAATAAGTGTTTTTAAATCATTTAATTAAAACAATCTCTCTGCTATTTCTTATTTTTGAGTTTGTATGCTCTGCAGATATTAAATTCAACACTTTCATAAAAGCTAAAGCTACAAAGACTAGTTCAAAGTAAGGTTATGTTTACATTCCTCTCGAACCACAAAACAGAGAAAAGAGATTAACTCGAACAGAGATATCCACAGATTATTGAGCTACTAGAGATATCTCTGCTCTGGAACTAAGAATTTTTATTCTATTAAGTTGGGAACTTGGGAAGTGAACTGGTTAGATTTTTTGGTGGGAATTTATAGATTTAAAATTGCCTACTAGTAACTAATTTTTGAAACAAAATATGATATAAATTAGTAGTAATTATTATTAATTACTTTTATACTATTTTCCTGATATCTAGTAAATTTCGGATGCCGTAAAAAAAATATATAAAAATGCGGTCTTATTTGAAACTTTTGAATTCGATTTTTTTAAGAATTGTCATTTGCTATTGTATACCAAAATATACCTGAATTAACTGACTGGGTTACTTACTCAAAGGCACTATTAATTTGCACTAAATGTTTTGTTCAATCTTTTATTAATGCTAGCTTAGAATTAGTTTTACGTTATTAGCTTCCTATGTAAACAAAATCTAAGAATACCTACTACGAATCCATATAAACTGTTATATTTAATTATCTCTATGTTATTTGAATTTCTCATCCTACATATGCATGCTTCATTCAGCAGACGATTTGTTGATGTATATCTAAAAATACGCGTGCAATTTTTGTCTGAAAATGGATGGAATCATAACATTTATACTTAACAAAAGAAGAAGCCCACCACAAAAATTTCTAATTATCTCGAGTTGCTTAGGATAATTGAATAACGTCTGTCAAGCTTATAATTTTCCTATCGCGCGTCTGGAAGGCTATGAGATGAAGTGAGAAAGTTTATAGCATCGCGTTATAGCAGGGGAGCATATTCGTTGAACGCACCACGTTTATTTCCTTCATATTTTTTGCTTGACAATGTACAAAAAACAAACTAGGACAAAAGTTTTAGTTGCAAATAATATACAGTGTGACCCATCAAGAAGCAGAACATCACTTATTCAAATTATTTTATGGACGATGTGTATGATATAGAGAAAGTGGTAGTATTATTACAGTTCTTTTTTATAAGTCGATTCAAGATATATTCAATATATTCAACATTTATAAATTTACCCACAAAAAACCAGACCTCTAAAATTTTACAAAATTTTGGTTATCAAGGACTTTTGTAGATTTTTGTAGATTTTGATTAATTTTTCGGCATGTTGTGAAGAAATTTATCCAAAGTCGCAGTTTATATTATGCCGGGTGAACCAAAATTATGTTTTGGTGGTAGCCTGTGAAATGATCAAAAAACCTGGAGACAATTTAGACCGATTTCTTTACAGTATGCCGAAACAATAAAGAAACTCACTGAAGATTTACAAAAGTTTCGTAAAATTGCGAAAAAAGTATTTATTGTTTTACTTAATTAGATTTTTTTAATAGGGCTTAAAAAATGTATTTGTTATTCTTTGTGACAAAAATTGGTTAACGACTTTTTTATTTAAAATGTGACAACGCCGCTATACCAAATTTCGTTTATTAGGGATTTCCTATGTAGAAACTTTCCTCAAATTGAATTTAATGGCAACTAAAAGTTACGAATTGAATTAAATCAACAAATGCTCCCTGACTAAAAACTCAGCGGTAGAATCTTCCATCGTTTAATAGATTGTCGAAGGCATGATATTGAGGTCACCCCACTAGCCTCGAGATCCCGAGTAGAATGCGATGGAATGCAACCAATTCCAAGCAGTTGAAGAGAAAATGAAATTTAACGGGATAGTTAGCGACATCGTCCTCGAGTTTTTGAGGTATGAGGCGTCTGGAATCGATGATTGCCGCTGAAGGAGATGGAGAAAGACTTATTTGAATGGGGCTGTCGTCCACAGGTCGTCGGAGTAAGAAAGGCAACCTGTTACATCAAACAGAGAATTGTAAATTTATAGCGGGAAATTGAGAGTTTGTAAATTCTATCCAGAAAACTATATTCGCTCTTGTTTCTTTTTAAATTCTTTTGTTTACCTAAACTGAGCCATGGAAATATTGACATGGTTTACTAAACGGAATTTGATCACGTTCGAAAGAAATATCATTCATAAATTACGGTTTAAAACATTTACTTCAAAATTAAAAAAAAATGTTTAATGATTACTAACGTTTCGGACTGGAAAACTCAGCATCAGTATTATTTTCCTTCGAGTGCAAAATATGAAATAATTTTCAATATCTTTTTTGATATGATTTTGTACATTTTTTTATATGTTTCAGAAACATTTTGAGTTATCAAAAAATAAACAAATTTTAACGAAACTAACATTTTTATTAGACTAAAAACCATAAAGCTTGGGAAAAGTATCAAGTGATTCCAATATTGATTCGTATAACTTATAAATGACGCTTTAAGATTTTGGTAATTTATGAATACCTACTTTTGAATGTAAAGTTACTAAAAAGTAAAAAATGACACTGACGATGAGGTTTCTAGTCCGAAACGTCACTAAACGGTTTTTCATATTGTATATAATTCATTACTGAACTTTGAAGAAAATAAGAAGCAAGTACTATGGAGTGAATATAATGCAGATTTGTATATAAAAAAATTAAACTTGTGATGGTTATGAAAAGATGAAAAGCTACAAAAAACTCAATATTCAAATAGAGGGATAAAGATGGCATTAAGAAACTGTTTCTATTTCCCGGAAAACGATAAAATAGAAATATGAATATTCTCATTTAAAAAAAAATCTCTTAAAAATATCAAGTGACAAAAAAGTTTCTAATTTCAATAGCTTTCTAGCGGACTAATAATTTTTTTTTAAGAAAAATCGTCTTATTAAGGGGGTTCTCCGCCAAATAGCGTTCCACATGTCATAAAACCTTTAAATCTCGTACAACAGGGTTCTGAGATATAAAAAAGAAACAGCAGATTTCGGGAGGCTGTAAAGAGGCAAAAATAAAAAATATGGGTCCCCTAAATTGGTCTTAAGAACCAAATTTTGTTGCATTAATTTCGATACACTTGGTATAATACTTATCCACACCCAGTATAACAAAAAAAAAAAACGAACGACTTATTGATGCTCTTCTTTATGGCCGGTTTTATGGAATTCAAATTAAGAATATTTTTTGTATAAATGATCTCTAAAACCTTCATTTTAGTATACAGGGTGTTCAAGACCTTCTTATTGGGCCATTCGTATTTCAAGAACGTTTAACATCCGAACATTATCTAAATTTTTTACAAAATGTGTTGCCAGGATTAATGGAGGATGTTCCACTTCAGAATACAGTTAACACGTGGGTTCAGCACGATGGCGAGGCGCACCACCGCATTTTGGTGTAAATGTGAGAGAATATCTAAATAACAACTTTGCTAACCGGTGGATTGGAAGAGGAGGTCCAGTTCTCTGGCCTTCTAGGTCGCCAGACCTAACACCTCTTGACTATTATCTTTGGGAACACATGAAACATCTATTGTATTCAAATAAACCACAAACCAGAGATGAGCTAATTCAAAATATTATGGCTGCAGCTGCATTCATACGAGATGACCCAGATACTCTTCAAAAAGCTACATCTTCAATTAATTATTAGAAGAGCAAGAATGCGTTGAGAGGCAGCGGGGAGACATTTTCAACCATATCATCAATTAAATTATTTTCTGTTAATAATAAAAAAATCGTAATTAATAAAACATTACATTAATTCAAATGGCTACAGTAGGAAGCGACCTGCCATTTTGCCAGGTACTTTGTTGCACGACTGCCGCCCACAGAGGGCGAAACACAATGTTTTTATTTGCCAGTGTTGCGAGAAACATCTATTCCGCACAAATTAAATTACTTTATTCAACATGCTCTTCACCAGATTTATTTACTGTTAAATTTAATATTGCCCATAGATCCTCAATTATTGAGTTTTGGGCAAATAGAAGTGTATAAGGCACTTTCAACTTAAAATTGTCCAAGGAATGCGACCTTAAGCTGTGGTCATCGAGTCACGGGACATCTTGTATCATGTGTCTAAATATCTTTTGAACAAATGTAGATGTTGAAGCGCAATATATGAACGCAATACATGAAAAGCCAGTGACGTAGATATGAACATTTTCCTCACTGAAAAATATGTATCATTTTTGAAATGCAAGTCCTATTTTGAACAAAAGTGATGCCTTGTTTTTTTTGCAGAGCTTTTACCGTTTTGGCACACATTAGTAATTTGTGAAGTTAATTATTTCTTTAAAAAGTTGTACAGGGTGTTATACGACAATATGTCAAAAATGAGTTCCAAATTTAAATAAATAAATTTAAAATAAATTCAACAACTAGATATTGCTAATTTCTACCAAAAACGGTAAAGGCTAATTAAAAAATTTAGTTCCTCACAATCGAGTTATAAATAGCAGTGCCCCCTAATTTCCTCACCGGGGGGGCAGTACTTCGCAAGTGATGAATGAAATATCGGAGAGGCGTCGCTTGCCAACCCCCTGGAATAAAATAAGACGCGAGGCGCCGTGGCGGAGGTTTTCCGAGTCGGCGACGCGTTGTCAAAGAAGCAGCAGCTGCCGCCACCACAGTACAGGACATCCTACCGGTGAGGGAGCTCTCCTGGTGGCTCAGTGTTCAGCATCGCAGACGCTCGTAGGAGGAAGCCCTACAAGGGGATCAACAGGTAGGATTATTGTCCTTTTAATTCAGTTACGCGACCTAGGCAGTATTGGTGACGCTCGCGAGTCGTGTTATGAATTAATTTCGCATAGAATTGCATGTCACTAATTTATTAATTTCGGTACTCCTGAAGTGATCTCTTACAGCTTGCTTTTAAGGTTTGGGAACCACTGGTTAGTACCTGTATTTAAAATTGTTATTGCGTTGATTGTTGTTGAGGTGAAAATTGTAGGTCGATTTAAAGTTTTGCATTAATTTATACATTTGGTAGTCATTAAGGCGACATTCTTCTGGGTAAAAATAAGCAAACCAGTTTATATAAACATTGGTCCGAAAACGCAACATTTCCGTGGTATAGGCATTCAAATTGTTTGAAATAAAAGAGTTTATTTTTGAGGAATATGT